CAGTTGTTGAAGACAAAATGGAAATGACTTGATCTTTCGTGAAAATTTGGGATGAATTTATCTCAAAACTTTAATGGGTGAGGTGGCAATGCATCCATTTTAGATGATGAAATTATTCTTTAAAATATAAATTAAAATGACAATCAAATAATTCACTTCAATTGACACCCAGACTTAGGGGTGCGTATTATATCGAAATTTTCGATTTTGGTTTTTGAGAAATTTGGTTTTTAATAATTTTAGTTTTCGATTTCGATTTTCAGATTTAGAAATTTGGTTAATCGAAAAACCGAATATGCTAAAATTTATTATATAATATATAATATATAATATATAATATACAATATATAATATGCTATATACCTATATATTAATATATTATATATAATCTATTATAATGAAATTAAATTTTATAATATATTATAATAATATATATATTATAGGTTATAATATATAATAATAACTAAATTCGGTTTTTAACTGAAATAACCAAAAACTGAACAGAAAATTTTGATTCGGTTAATTTCGATTTTATTAAAAATCGGTTTTGGTTTTCATTTTAGTATTTCGATTTTAAAAAATTTGATTTATTTGATTCGATTTTTAACCGAATAGATCGAATGATCACCCTTAACCAGATTCTCTGTTAGTAAATAGATTTTAAGCTTTATGAGGCTTTACTTAATTTCTTTCTAGCAACTGATTTCACCCTAGCTAAGTTATCCCCATCCTAACCAAAAGTCAGTTGAACCGAGGTAGGTTTGTGTTCAGGTTGAGGACTGAAAAGTTGATTAATAGTTATGTGAAAAAGTCGTTGATTGTTTTCCAGTTTTTAAAAGAACCTCAAATATGCCATTGCATTATTAGATAGTCTTTGAACTAATTAACATATATAATTTAGATGCCACACATTCTCACTAACGCAACATGTTCAGTTTATTATCTATATACTGAAGATTTTGTCTATAATAATTAATTAAAAACAATCTAACTGGACCAACTACAAGATTAAGTTGTTTTGAATGGTTGGGAAACAAGAATTATTGTATTATCTAGGAGATTATCATCATTTAAGCCTTATCCCAATTAAATAAATCAGTTACATGAATCCTATTTTGTCATTCGAATCTGTTTAATGTCATATCGGTTGTTAAATTATGAGCACTTAAATCATTTGGCAACGATCCATGTCCTTTTTGCTTTACTCCTGGCCCCTTCAACTTGCAATTTGCAATAAATTGCTTCTCCTTAAATGGATTGTATTCTCTATGAAACAATCCATTTAATAATTAAAGGCATCAAATCAAGCTGTTTTTTGGTCTAGCAGATCCCATACATGAGATCCACAACATAAACTAGTTGTCTCAAATAAACTTGGTACTGTTATACTTATGGTGGTACTAAGGCTGAATGTTTCACCATATGTGTGTGTTCTATAAATTATAAAACAAAAGTTTATATTTTATTGGTAAGAAAAACATTAATTGAATAAGATATACTCCCTCTTGCATATAAAATACAACAAATTGTTTTCAACCTGTGAAGCAGCAACTAAGTATCCCAAGACAATAATTTAAAGCTCCTTATATTTTAACAATGATTTTCTTTTTCCAATCTTCATCTGTTGAAATCAAATTACTAAGCCCTATATAACTGATTCTTTGTCTCACATTTTTGCCATACCCCAAATTGCTATTAAATTAAGTTGATAGATGTCGATTCTGCAAATAGCTGCCCAAATGAGTGGAGGCACTTCATTCCCTAAATAGCAGCAGACCATGCAGGAGTCAAGTCCTTGCAGCAACGTTAATACAGACAATAGCAGCTCTTAGATCACATGCAGCATTTTAGCAATTTTCAGACTTATCCATGGTACCTAACAAAGTCTACATTGCTGGCATAAACAGGGACAGTGGATTTTCTTATATAAGAAAACAAGAGACAAATCTTCACATTAATTCAGAAAAGTCAGCAGATTCTTCAGCCTTGAATGGCGCAAGTCATGTGAAACCTTATCCTTCATTCCTTCATTCACCATTTCAAATTTTCTTCTCACTGCAGTCTATTAATGAATCCTATATATATATATATGGGGTCATGACAACCCATTTGGCTGCCAAAATGTAGAGGATTAATTGGTTTGAAACAAGAAACCTACTAATAAGTCACCAAGAAAAGAAGGAAAAGACATGAGAAAGAACAAAAAATTAAGAAAACTTGGTTAGAAGCTTAGAGGAGTTAGAGCTGGCAGCTATATATGGCCTTTAGGAAACCCAAGAGGAAGAAAAGTGAATTGGATCTCATTATCGAAAGCTAAGCTCTAGCGTGTCATTGCCCACTTTCCACCACAACATGAAATCACTTTGTGTTAAGGTACAGAGGAATAAGGGTCCCTCCCATACGCTCATTAGCCATTACTATTTGCTTGTATCAAAAAGGAAAATCATTAACTGACACAAGTAGTAAGCAAGTGTGGAACCCATTTAGGGTAGCCTCCTGAGTTGGAATGACCACGAGATGATTCGTTTTTATATCTTTTGTCCAAACTCCCTTTATATCCTTTTTGGCTCACTCCTAATTCCTCCCTCGCATTGATTATTGTCTTCCATCTTAATTAATGGAAAGGCCCATTTCTTTTGAATTCTCGAGGAAAAAAATAATCTTAAATCTGTTTTATTTACATTCATTGCACGGTTAATTGAAAAACTAATAGGGTCTTCAAAGTAGAAGCATCGACATAGGCCTGGAAGTTCATGCCTTCATTTTTATATTCTTTCTTTTCTTTAGGCGGTTAGGCCCTTAAATATCTGATAATTCTTGTCTATTTTAGGTGCGTCAAGACAGGTCAGAAACACACACCCACACAAAAAAGAAAAGAAATCCCAAATTTTGGGTTTCTTCAAAAGTGCAAGCTAACATGCCAAGTGAGAATTGTAGATAAGTTTAACAGAAAAATGCCCAAAATTTTATTTGGTTGAACAGTTTATCTGATAAATGTCTATCTTGAAAATCGTGTGGTTTGTTTATCAAAAAAACACTAATTTTGATGTTTTTCATTTTCAAGATCGATTTTTTTACTATTTGACTTATATGACACCTAATAGAACTGAGGTGTAAAAAAATAATACAAAACATTTATCTTATAAACGCCATAGATACCAAACAACCTCTAAGGTTCCTCTACTGTTTCTTGCACTGGATTAATTGCTAGTCCGACTAATAAGCTGGAGACATGGATAACCCAAGAGAGTCTATTAAGGTCCGGGTTTACAATGTCGGAACTCCACTTGCAAATGCAGCTTTGAGAAGCTAAAGTGGCAATATGCTAAACATCTCTTTGATAGGCCATGAAACTTGTAGTAGCACCGGAGTTGCAGCACAAGTCAAGGAAAATGCATATTTGTCGGATTTTTTGGTAGAATTATTTGTAGGATTCATGCATGGTTTTTTCTTTGTTGTCGAATTTCTCTTGGTCAATTTAACTTAATATATTTTAGGCAAATTTTTATTGTGCATTTGCTGCATTGTGTAAACGTGTAGCCAAGGTTTAAAATTTCGACACGTATTAGGCTGTATTGACTGATATTATATCGGTGGCCTCTCTATATACCCATACGGGGGTGTTTTTGAGGTTTGACCTGGTTCAAGAGATAGACGGACTTAAACCAACTCCTCTGAACTAGAAAAAAATAAATAAAAAATAAAAAACGAGCCAAGATACAGATCCATACGCCCAATATTTGAACCTTGCATGTAGCAAAAAACATGAATTAACGATATTTTTTATTCATGTCCTACTGAACATCAAAGTACACTTTATTAAACTTTAAACATGAGAATGCATTCTGTAAATCATGAACTAATAAAAATTAAAATGTTTAACAAGATTGGTTAGGTCTAAATTTAACATGCGGCCAATATCAATATCAATTGAAGGGGCATTAGCCAATATCTGTAATTTTGTTTTTCAACTACCACATCAACAAAATCATATTATTTTAATTGCAGTAGCAGTTTATTTTTGTTTTGGAAAAAATCATACATAATTAACCTAAAATGTGGATTTTTTTTGAGTATCTAAAATACTATTACCAAAAAAAAGTGAATCTAAAGATGATGGATCATGGACATAGGGCTGCAAATCGGGTTGCCCGATGCCGGTAAGTTTCCGGCATCTGAGTCAGAATTTGACGCTACAGTAAGTTTCCGGTACATGTCCGTCAAAATCTTGCGACGGAAGCATGTGACAGACATACCGACTTACCGAGTTACCGACTACCGAAACGACCGTCAGATCGTTAGGAAACCCCCGTACGATACAGTAACAGTATCAAAGAAGCAAATAATTATCTGACCGTTAAAAAGGCTTCCCGCCTTCCGCCTTCGATTTCTTTCTCAGGCACGTTGGAGCATTGGAGGGTCGTAGAGTGTCGCCACGTGTTAATACTGACAAGTCAGACTCGTGAGCCCCACATGGTCAGCGCAGAACAGATTCGACGTGAACGAACCCTTCGTATTTTTTAGATTTTTGGTCCCGACCACGATCTCGTCTCGCACCCCCACCCTATCCAACGGTCACGTTCTCGGGAAGTACCCCGCCGATGAAATTACCCAATCCCCCCCCTCCCAAAAAGAAAATTGGGGCAGATTTCCGCCCATGAAAATAACAGAAACGAAACGACCGTCTTCTTATTCATCTAACTTACTCTACTTTCCTCATTTTTCTTATATTCAATGTGATGTCCTTTTCCAACTGGTAAAGGGCAAATCTCTCTTCCTGGAATTATAAAGTACTCTAACTTTGTGGGGACACGAAGGCAATTTATATAAAGAGAAGGGCTCTGAAATGAAAAGCTGCCAGGTATATAACAGGTGTGGTGTAACTTTTAGTGGAGCCAGATTCATAAGATTTTCGTAAATTACACAGTTAAATAAACCAAGTAAATTTTCTTTTTTTCTTTTTTTTTTTTTTTAAAATCAGGCGGAGAGAGAGAGAGAGAGAGAGGCATCCGATAATAAAACCAGCCTCCCGCAGTGCATCTCCTGTGACATTGTAGTTTAAAGAAGGAAGGAGAATAGGAAGCGAATCTCTCTCCTCTGGTTTGGTTTCTGTGATCTTTGAAACCCCAACCGTTAGTGCCTTCAACGGATTCCTGTCGTCAAAGCATTATGCATTTTTAATTACCGTGCTAGCCTTAGTTGCCGAATAATGGACGGAAAGCCGCTGGAGAATGCAATTGCTTCTCTTACCATGTCGTTGGATAGGGTTTCATTACATTTTCCATCTTTAGTCCTTTCGCAACGCAACTTGATCGATGACCTTAGAGATTGGATTGTTTGATCGACCGGAGGAATAGATTCCGGGAAGAAAAATTACATTTTTTTCCGTTTCCGGCGGCGTTCGACGGAGATTCTAGCCATGGCTGCAGAAAAAGGAAATCTGGAGAGGATTAGGAGGGCTATTCGGACGGTTTTGTTCATGTTGACAATGGTAGCATCGCTTCTGGTTTTGTCAGCACCTCTACTCGTCGCAGTCGGAGACATTTTAGTGCCGTTTGTATTGGTTTCGAGTTTTACATGTGTGAGATGCTATAGCCTCAAAGAGCATTTGCAGAGATATGGCTTCAGAAGTTCTCTGGTGGACATTCCTCTTGTTTCCGTCATCAGATCTCTCGTCATAACTTGTATGATATTTCTCTTTGTTCATTTCGACAATTTTCCCTATTTAATATGCTATCTTTCATCGACGATTGGAGAATGTTGCTGGTTTCTCTATACATACACCAGAAATCCCACGCTCCTAATGCATTACCCTAGAAACATCCCTGCCCGTGTATAGTGTTTTTCAATGTCCTTTTTTTCCTCTGGTTTGAAAAACTGGCTAAAATTTTCCCTTTCGGGGGAAATAAGTCTTCATATATATATTTTTTTTTAATTCAATTTTTGGAAAGAATGGATTATGAGCCGGGTTTAATGATAAAGAGAGTGTTTCTGGTTGATTTCGGAGTAATTGAACAATGGAAATGTGAACATGGCTGGCTTTTTGAATAAATTGAATGCATGATTTGGATGATTATTTGAAAAGATGATTGACAATAGCACCAGTTTTGAGAACAAATTGGATTAATTGATGGTTAATGATTTTTTTTATACAAATGCTTATCTTGGCTTAAATTTACTTTTCTTGTCAGGTGTTTATTCAATGTGTGATGGCCTTGGGCTCTCACACGGGCCTTATCTTGGAACAGTCACGCTCTGTTCCTTTATTTCCATTCTCGTTCTATCAGTGAAGGCATGTACTTTTACTGTAAATTCGGAAATCGAGGCAGAAGCTTCATCATCTTCTCTGGCAAGGCAGAAGCTCCATTTGAAGAAGTCTTGGGGGATGCCCGTTTTGTTCCTCTCTTCACTAGTCTTTGCACTTGGGCATATCGTGGTGGCTTACAGAACTAGCTGCAGAGCGAGGAGGAAGCTCCTCTTCCACAGAGTTGACCCAGAAGCAGTAAGATTATTAGTGTTCTTTTTCTCATTGCCTATATATATCTCATCATTTCCGACGTGTTTCTTTGCATTGACTTCCTTTTGGTTTTTCAAATCCAGGACCTTTATCTATTTCCAGATTTCTTTCGGTCCAAGTACAATAAGACAACGTTATTAAATGCATAAATTGATTCTCTTAAGTCTTAACCCAGTTTTTGCCTACCCTTGACCAAATTTGAAACATAAAGTTTTTTCTTGGCTATTATATAAAGACAGATCTTAAAGCCTTCTTTCTTTGCATTTCACCAAATTCTTCTAAAGAATTAACCTACACAGCATTTAGATTTTGGATTGGTCATCTTACAAGCATTCTATTAAATCACAGGTTCTATCATGCAAAAGTGTGTTCTCTGGTTACCAGAAGGTCCCACGATCTCCTACACCCTCTTCAGGAAAGACCCCAAAGAGTGACAGTGAAACATGGCAAAAACCTTTAGCTATAGCTCGCTATGAAGGAGAGCTCCCAGTCAGATTACTTGCAGAAATTGATAGCTTATTTATAGCCTGCCAAGGCCTCACTCTTCATTACAAACTCAGCTTCTCTGAATCTCCTCGCTCTTTAGCCTCCAGGCCCTCCACTACCTTTCTCGATCCCAATATCAATTGCACTTCACCAAGAATGACATCTGGAAGACTAAAGCTTGATCGATCACCTTTAACCATCCCATCTAAAATCCAGTACCATCTTCATAGGAGCATCAGTAACCAATTTCATGGTTCCTCTTTATATGACCCGTTATTGGATAGTTGTGCAGTTTCACCTGCTTATGTGTCTGAAGATATTCCCATTTTGAGCCTAAATGATGGTGAGACTGAAACGTGTCTCTCCAACTCTGTGATTTCAGAAGGAGATGTAGAGGCATCTGGAAAATTTGGTATTGTTTTGGTCCATGGGTTTGGAGGAGGAGTTTTCTCATGGAGACATGTAATGAGAGTTCTGGCACATAAGGTTGGTTGCACGGTTGCAGCTTTTGATCGACCTGGTTGGGGATTAACTTCTCGGCCACGGAGAAAGGATTGGGAAGAAAAGCAATTGCCTAATCCTTATAAGCTTGATACACAGGTAATTCCCCATTGATGAGCATTTTTATTTCTCTAAATTTTTGTGTGTTACTTGGGTACTAGAATTGGTGGGGAGTATTAGACAACTATCAGGAAAATGCTTCTGCAGCTTCCATAAAGTCTATCAAGAAATGTCTACTCTTTTGAAATTTAAAAGTAGTCCTAATCCATATACTCTGGTCAAACTAGAAGTTACTACAAGAAGCTTTGCATCTAAAGAACTAACTCGGCTTGCAAAATAAAATAAGATGGTTTGGTAGGAAAGTGCATAACTATTCTTGTTTAGGAAGTTAGACAAGGTTTGCATGCAAATTTTCATCTAATGCAAATGCAAATTAGTTAAAATGTTGCTTTCTAGAACATCTATGTTCATATTTTTCTACTCAATTTATCAGTTGAGAGGATTCAGAAACATCTATGGTCATCTATGGTTATATTTTGACAGCTTTATTTATGAAAGGAATATTTGGTTTCTGTCTCCAACCTATCAGTGGAAAGAAATTCAGATTATAACAGTGAAGTTTGTTTTTGGGAGTTCTTGTACATGTTCATCATGAACTCATTTCTTTTGTGATCAATTGAAATATTTAAAAAGCTTAATCTGGTGCCTTTCCTGTGAACATAAAAAATAGGAGATATAGGAAGTGAAGTCAAGCTCTTGAAACTGTCCCAATCCAGTACATTCGTTCTTTCAAAGTAAGGAAATATAGGAAGTGACCTTATAAACTTAAGACACCGTTTTAACAATAAAAATAGAAATGGAAATTATATCTGCTAGCTTCGACTGTTGAGACACACATTGTAGTTGTTTGGGTTGTAAGTAATTACCCCCCCTCCCGGTTTCTTTACTACATGTGATTAATATGTCTTGTTCCGATGCATCAGGTTGACCTCCTCCTCTCTTTCTGTTCAGAGATGGGGTTCTCTTCTGTGGTACTTGTTGGACATGATGATGGTGGCCTGCTTGCTTTGAAGGCTGTACAAAAAGTTAGGAAATCTACAAATTCTGCCCATGTGAGTAAACCTGCTAGATTTTCTTTTCCAACTAAACATCTTTTTGTTTACTGTCTTTAAACAAAAGGAATTCCTTCACCTGATAAGGATTTTTAAATTTACTCTCACAAGCACCCAAAATTGTGAAGTTTCAACTAAATCTTATCTTAATAAACATAAAAAGAGGATTTTCTTCATTGTGACTGTAATTCTGAACTTCTATATAAATGGTTTATTCTTCTGCTTTAGAGTTTTGGAGAGCAAAACCTTATAATTTTGGAAAGTAAGTAGAAATGACCTTTGCTTGAATGGTACAAGGTGCTGTGAGGTTGCCTATTGTCTTTCCATTGTATGGCCAGCATATTGTACTGGGTTGTTGCTTGATACATTTTGATACGAACAACACAACTGGATCAGATTAAATTCTTAAATAACTGGATGTGCTATGAGTAATATCTATCAATGTAGCTAAATGTTTACATATCTTTCTCCATCCTTTCTTCAATTTGTTTATTTCTTCTTTCTCTGCATCTCAGGTAGAGATTAAGGGTGTTGTACTTCTCAGTGTCAGCCTGTCAAGAGAAGTTGTCCCTGCCTTTGCCAGAATCCTTCTTCGCACTTCCTTGGGGAAGAAGCACCTGGTCCGTCCTCTTCTGCGAACTGAGATTACTCAAGTGGTAAACAGACGTGCTTGGTATGATGCTGCAAAGCTTACAACTGAAGTTTTGAACCTTTATAAGGTAGTTTTATATGTTTGGCAATGCCAGAGTCTTATATATGTAGCATTTTTTTTTCTTTTCAATCAGGATAAATTGGTCACTACTCACTAGGTCTTCTTTATATACTGACAAAGTAAAAGATGCATTGTAAAAAATCCATTTAGCTTTCTCTGACTGTTTCTTTATGCATTCATCAGGCACCATTATGTGTGGAAGGTTGGGATGAAGCACTTTATGAGATATCTAAACTGTCATTTGAAACAGTCCTTTCATCAAACAGTGCTGCAGCATTGCTAAAAGCAATTGAAGACCTGCCAGTTTTGGTTGTGGCAGGTGCAGAAGATTCCTTAGTCTCTCTAAAATGTTCTCAAGCTATAGCTTCGAAGTTTGTAAATTCTGTAAGTATTCTGTTTTAAATTAATCGCCCTTATCCTTATCATTAGTGGCTACTGTTACAATATGCTGCAATTTTCTTGCAAAGAAATTTAAGTTAGTGATCCCGGCCATTGGGCTACTATTGCCAGTTTCTGTCAATGGCTTAACCCATCTTTAGTACCATTCAAGCAGTTGGGCATGGATCACTCATGAAGTTCATGGCATGTCTAAGTAACGTTGTGACCAAGATAATTGTTGCCGCTTTTTGTGGATTACCTGTTTAGCATATGATTAACAGAAAGATATCTCCATAATGTATGCCCCAATGTTAGCATTGGCTACAGTTTTGTGTCCAGAGCAACATCTCCGTAATGTATCCCCCCATGTTGAGCATAGGCCACGGTTTTTTGACCATGTTTCTTTCTTGTATGGCTCTATTTTATATTCTAAAATTTGAAATCATATTGATCATTTTTTATCTGACTGTGAATTGTATTGATGTAGAGACTAGTTGCAATATCTGGATGTGGCCACCTTCCACATGAGGAGTGCCCCAAGGCATTACTTGCAGCGCTATCACCATTTATAACCAGAATCTTGTCATCACAAGACCATCAGCAGAGCTTGCAAAAACAATAGCAATTTTTAACTTATTATTAGTGTGCGCAATAGTTATGCAAGTTTCTTTTTTTCTTTCATTATTATTTCTTTTCTATTTATATCAAGAGTAGAGCTAAACATCCACTCTCCTCTTGGGTATTTTTGAGATGTAGCTTGGAGCCAGGCCCTAGCTCTGGCCTCTAGGGTTTTTGAGCTCTCCCATGTATTCCTTTCTTTTCTTTTCCTTTTTGAGTTTCTTTTTTTTTTTTTTCTGTGATGCTTGTTGAACAGTGATTCTAGTTTTCCACCAAGGGAGTGGAAAATGTCATATATTTGTATATTATTTAGAGTGATGATAATGATAATTCATCAGTTCAGATGGATTGTTCCATATCAAATGAAAAAGCTATTCTCTTTACTCAGTTGAGCTATTATCACATCATTTTATTTGACCTGTTTATCTAAATATTTGCACTGGAATTATATTCTCATCTGTTCAGATTCCCAACCTGTGGTCCAGGCCCTGCAGTCTTCTAATCTCATGCTCCCTTGGCAATCGAAGTATTTGTGCAACAAAACAAAACTTCTGCTGCAGAAATTTACCGTCTTTTTGTTATGTAAATAGGGGTGTAAATATTCAAGCTCATGCTATAGCTCAATTTGCCAAAGGGTGTCAGGGTGTGTGGATATGTGGATGGATAGTATACCTGATTGGCTTCCTCTTGTATCTCAGACTCTTTTAATGGCTTTATAATATAGTTTTTTTGTCTGTCAAATGAAAAAAAAAAATCCTGCCTATTTGAAAGTATGAAAGATGAAAAAAAAGAACAGAAAATTGGTGGAAAGGTTAAAATGCTTAATGTGCTAGTACAACACACATCAGTGAGAACTGAGACCTCGTGGGGTTGCTAGTCTTTCTGGCATCGGAGTGACAAACAGCCACGCGTGCACACAGACACAGAGATGTACGTAACTGTAAAGTGTAAACTCTCTTCACTACTGTTGCATGTTTGGTGGGTCAAAACCAATAGCTTGCAGTAATTGGCTTCTTCCACTCACATTGTTTAATGTATTTCTCTACATTCCTTTTCTTTCCCCTGTGTTTCTTTTAAGCTTGAAAGGGAAAAAATCACTAAGAAATGCTGGGAGTACAATGCAAGAAAAACAGTCAGCAAGAAAGTTGAAAACAATTGACTCAATCTAAACAAGAAAAAGAGAAAAATACTCCACCTAGAAACATGTCAAAACTGCTAAAACGAAAGGAATAGCACTGATGAGCACCAAGAGTGAAACGTTCCTGAGACCTTTGCACACGATATATGAAATTGAAGACATCAAAAAGTTGTATGCATCCTCCAGTAAGTACAGACATGGATTTGCTAGAGTGTTGGTGTCATGGTGTGTGACCAAGCCACATGGAACCCACATTAAATGTGGGCTCATCTGACATGTTAATTCGTGATTGATTGTGCAGTCGGTTTCACACGTGTTTATAACAGATCCATTCCAAATTCCAAATAGAGAATACCATTGGACCCCGGCAAACAAGACTCTCCCAAACCCAAATAGAGAAGTCTGAAATGCCAAAGCAGACCCTTACCCTTGGCTTATTGGCCATCTCAAACTCAACCTTTAAAGTAGAAGCAGAGGTAGGAAATAGTTGTGTGACACATCTTTTATTTAACGTGCCTTTCATCCAAATGTTTTTGTTTCGTTAAATATAAATTATCTATTATTTTATTATCTTTGTTAAAATAATTAAAAATAAAAACAATAAAAATATTTAAATATATTAGAAGTTGGGATTTATTTATGTTTTTTTTCATTGTTTTTTATTTTTAATTATTTTAACAAAAATAATAAAATATTTGATAATTTCTATCTAAAGTAATAAAAAAGTTTGGATGAAAGGCATATTAATTGAGACATGTGTCATACAACTATTACTTGCTCCCTCGTTGTGACTACCTAATGTGCCTACGTCCGGACCCATCACATGCGTTAGGACTTAGGAACATGTCCCCATCCCCATATTCATGGGGATTCAAACGCGTGTAGGAACTCTTAAATTATACCGTGACGCTAGCATTTCTAGCTCTTCGTCTATTTATAACCTTTTCCCTCTCCTGAAAAACAAGCCCATACACGTACTCCGACCAAATTCCAAATTCCAATGGTTACAAATCCGTCCAGCCATTTTTTCCGGACAAGTTTGTGTTTGAATCCCGGGACCCGGCAAATAACCACCCTGAATCAGAAACCCACCTGGATTTCTCATTCACCATCCAAGCTTTCTGGGAAACCAAAACTAACAAAAGCTGAAACTGAGCCAAAAGTCAAGTGGGCTGTTAGACTAAGCTCAGCAGAACCAAGCCTCCAACCAAATTCAACGGTTGAAGGGAATTCGCTACTGGATTTCGTGAAGGAGGATTTCCTGCATATCTTTGATGATCAAGAGCTTGCTCAAATGGTGTACGACGAGTGCATCAGATACCGAGATCCGGTCACCAAACACGACAATCTGGATGGTTTTCTTTTCAATCTGGCGCTTTTGAAGACGCTTTTCCGATCGGAGTTTCAGTTGCACGACATGAAACAAGTACTTACTGATTTGATTTCACATTTCTGTACAAGACGACGTCAAATTTTAGTGTTTTTTAAGTTTACACTAACTAGACATTGAATTGTTGAGTCGTTATGCTGCTGAGTCCTTTCTATACATAGAAGATGACGACCGCCGACTGCTAAAGATCTCCTCCCTCCTAATAATCAATCCATGTACATGGATGATGGACCGATCCCACTAAAATTCATATGTTGCACCAAATCAGTACGTATACGACTTGTTTTGGCCGGAGACCATGCGTTGGAGTAGTTGTATATAGTGAAAACCAGGACCAACTCTAACATGGGCCCCCGTAAATTTGGGCTAAAGCCTCATCTGGGCAACGCAAGCCCGGCCTTAATTAGTAAAATCTATATATATACAGTTCATGTATATTTGGCCCAAGCCCATGCAGGCTAAACTTCATGCTATGTGGTTGAGGCATTTGTCAGCAAAAAGAATATCATGCCCTCAGTGATCTTATACGCTGATCTCTCTTAAGGTTGTTTGATCTTGAAATCCAGTTGCACAATGTGAAACAAGTCAGAGTTCATTTCCTTCATGTGATGAACATTGTAAATAGCCTCTTTACAATCTTTGTTGTCAGCTTTCAACTTTTAATTTTCTTCCCTATTTTTGTGATTGTTTTTAGGGGTGTATTCGAGCCGAGTTGAATCAAGTTTTGAGAGGTTTGAGCTCGAGCTCGAGCTCAACTTAAAAACTCGGAGCTTGAAACGAGTCCACATCTCCGCCCCATAATACATCCCCGCCGTGTATTGAGAATACAGGAGATGTGGTCTCAAGACAATAACAATCACAAGCTACTCGAGCCAGGTATTACGAAGCCTGAATTCGACTCCACTAACTACTTGACTAGAATCAAGCTCAACTCAACTCAATAATCTTTGGGCCAAGTTCAAGTACTTAATGAGCCAAGCCCGAGTTGGCTTAGCCAGCTTACACCTTCATCTAGTATTGTAGCTTAGTAAAACCAAATCATCTAAATAAATTATTCATATGGTTGAATATCTTACCCTACCCTTGTTGGAAATCATGAAACCAGGGTTGGGTTTGTTTCGATGTAGAAGAAGCATAATGTGTTTTCTGTAAACGGCCAAAATTATAGCTCTCTCTCTGTCTCTCTCGGTGGGCCAAGGGGGGAGGTGATTGCTGTTTTCTGTTATTATTGATTTAATGGTATAGACAGGACCTTATGAGATAAGGACAAGATGGACTGCAATAATGAGATTCATACTTTTGGCTTTGGAAACCAGAGTTGGTCGTCACAGCGACATCTATAATGGGTAAAAGGTTTTGCAGCCACGTGGTAAGCTGTTCTTTTCTTTCCCAATTAAACACAAGGGAGAAAACAAGGCTACAAAAGCATTGCAGCGTGTATTTTGCTTCTGTACCCTTTATGGGCCACTAATTTCTCAGAGGTGCCCTTTCTATTTTTCTCTAGAAACTTTGTTGGATATAATACAACAGGTACACAGTATTTCATAACAAGTTTGATCAATCTGTTTAACTTTAATTAGTGGGTGAACTCTTCTTCTATGCTTTCCACTGTAGTTTGTATTTCTTTGCAGACGAAAATGTAACTTTGAACTACCAAATTATAAAATACTTAAAAGAACTGCAAATTATGAGGTAATCTTTCTTCGTCCACTGTATTCTGTTTTAACTCCAAATCCATTCAATTGTTGCTTTGGCTCAATTTGGAAAAAGCACAAATACAAATACATACAAAATATTAGGTTTTGTACTCCACATATTTGTATTTGTACTCCTTCCAAACTGAGCCTTAGGAAGATTGTCCACCTGTTCAAATTTTCCCAGTTGTAGCAGTCCAGTATTCTGCTTTCACTATACCTAAGGACAAGTTGTTGTGGTAGTACAGGTGCGAGAGTACTACTCTCCATTTGTTGTGGTAGAAGCATATAAGGACAAGTTGTCAGGATGATCTGGTTTTAATGATATTGCTGGGTATGTTTTTCCACTGTTCTATTTACTGTTCAGAGATCTTTATGCTGTTTTGGCTAAGCTAGAATTTATGAGAGTCATCAATGTTATCTGTCTAGGTATGTATTTTCGAAAGAGTCCTCAATGGATTGACTACCCCTGTCTTCAATCGGGCGATTGATGCTGATTTGTCTGAGGTATCCATTCAAATAGTTCTACCACTAAAGAAATACTTGAGCAGGTAATGAATTTATATCCCATGTGGTTCATAACTAATATGAATTGTTTATAAAAGAAGAAATATTTGATTAGCAAATAGATCTTGCAAGGTGGAAGGAGGATTAAATTGGCCCTTTGTTGATATGGAATTTCCTTTTCTCATAATGAGAAGTTTCCCAGATCCCACTCAAGAATCAATTAGCTTAAAAAAGGTGGAAGGAGGCATTGCTGCTGTACTGAAATTCAGTGGAAAACCCACTGAAGACATTGTTCATGAGAAAGAGAAAGCACTCCGCTCTGAACTTCTTAGTGATGGTCTTAGACCGAAAGAGGGTTGTTTGCTTGCTTGCTATAATGATCCTGGTCAGACATGGAGCGTCATAATGGTACACCATTTTAGTTTATACTTTATGTAGTTGAACTGCAAATTACTGATTTTCTTCTATTCTGTTCTGCACAACCAAGTCTTTGAACGTGCATCAATATTTTGAACTTACATAGTTGCAGAGGTTTACTTTCCTTTCACTTAATCATCCATTTCCTGAGATTGTTCTCTGCCTTTGTTCTGTACATGGATTGCATTGAAGATAAATGAGGTGCTGATATGGCTTGAAGAGTACACATTGCAATAAGGGCAGCCCAGTGCACAAGGCTCCGACTAAGCGAGGGCTGGGAAGGGACAGATGTATGCAACCTTACCCCTGCACATACAAAGAGGCTGTTTTCAAAATTTAAATCCCGTTAACCGAGGTGCAATAGAACCACCAAACCGTTGCACCAAGGCCCACCCTCAAGAATTCACATTGCAATAGTGAATTTTAATTAAATTAGGGCACATTCTCTGTACAGGATTTCCTGTTGATTTGTTTTAGGAGCTCCTGATAGTGCAAGCTGAAAAGGAAAATGTAGGCATGCTTCGGTTGCACCAGTTCCAGTGCAAAGATGTAAATCTATTGAATTTTTGGTACTGATTGTGGTTATTTCAACATTTCTTCCCCTTGCTTAAGATTCTCCTTCATTGTTTTAATTGAAAAAAAAAAAAGCTCTCTCTCTCTCTCTCGATACTCTCTTGACTGCACCTAAAATGAAGGAAAATGAACATTTAAGAGGAGTGCAGAAAGTGAACATTTGTCAACAAGTGGGTATTGCTTTTATAATTTCACTTTCATTGAACAAACAAGAGGTATTAAGGTTCAGTTTGGGAGGAGTGCAAATACAAATATGAATATAGGTGCAAATATAAGGTTTGGAAATAACTGTAGATATTTATATTTGCACTCTTCCCAACCCAATTTTGAGCGATTATTCTAATAATTAATTTTTATTCAGTCTGACTTAACAAATTATGTTTTTATTTTAAAACAAAACAATAAAATTTTGAAATATTTATTCGTGTATCAACTCTCATTTACATGACTGCAAATGGTGTCCATTTGTCCAGCCATTTATAATTTAGATCAATGTGGATAAATCCAATCTTATCTGACTTTACTATGAATCTATTAGTAAAACTGGTCTGAATATATATACCGATTAATTTACTAGAGTCATGGATTAATATGAACTGTTCGATTAAAACTCTATTCAATTATATTTTTATTTTTTATTCAATTTATTAAAAATAATTAATAAGTGGATAGGCATATTCTTTAATTGACAATAGGGCATTACACATTGATTTAGCATGTGTTTTATTGGGTGGGTGTTTGATGATAGATATTTACCAAAATGTCATTATTAAATCAGAATTTTTTTTATTATATTCATTTGCACACATTGATATTCATAAAAGTGGGTTTTGATTTATGTGTGCATCAATTATCAATTCTTGGGGGAAGGGGGGAAGCTTTATTTTAATACTTCCCCCAACTACTTTTCTCAGTTTTGAATACAAATCAAATACAAACATTTATTTATTAAACTGAATCTATACCAAACGAGATCGGCTTTGACAAGGGTAAGCTCATGCTCACATGAACCGATTTTAAACCCGATGGATAAATTTTGAATTCAATATTGGCCTATTGGGTAAAGCCAGTATTTGCGATTCCACCCGATCCGTTTGCTGCCCTACTCTCAAAGTCCCAACTTCTAATTTCAAGCAACCGAGCTGACTGGTGAAAACTGAAAACCGAAAAAACTCTACGTCTCCCTCAACACTTCACTCTCTCACGAAACAGAGGTGAGGTGAGGGTTCTCGGTATGCATCGCTAGATTTATTTTTTCTTTTTTGTTCCTCATTTCTTAGGGGCTTTATTTTTATTCTACTTTCTTTTCTTCTGCTGGTTTTACTTATTTTTTCTTCAGATAAGGAAAAATGGGAGCTCGTCATGAGGTTCTGATCTCATTGGACGGAGTGAGAGACAAGAACCTGATGCAGCTGAAGAAGCTGAACACGGCTCTCTTCCCTGTTCGTTACAATGACAAATATTACGCGGATGCCCTTGCTTCTGGCGAATTTACAAAGTTAGGTATGAAATACTGTTATGGATTTTTGTTTTCTTTCCTTTTCCCATTTTGTTTTCCTATACCGACAGTGATAATATATGTAGCTAAAATTTTATCGTTCAGTGTACTTTGCTTGTTGGGTTCTAAATTATAGTGTCTGTGTTTTGTACATTTGGAGGATCTGAGTTTGTATCGAGCCATTAATGGATGTCCTATTGTCCTCTGTCCTGGTGAAACGATGATGGGGTAATGCCCCTTATATCTTTTAATTGTTTTTCCTACTGAATCAGTCATGTTAGCTGAGTAAGATGTCGCAGCATACATGAATTGTGTAGCACTTAACTTATATAATCATCTAACGAAGTAGGATTTTTAATAAGTTAGAAGATGATCTTTATTATATTAGTCAGTAATTGTGGAATTGCATAGCATTTAGTTGCTCAATATTTTGATTTTATGCAATCTAGGATGTAATTCCCTTTTTAATATGTAGGGGATGTGTTGCTTTTGGAACCCTTTCAATAAATTCAAAGTGAATTGCCTGAGGAGCCATTCCAATAAACTACACTTTTGTTTTTTCCTTGGCCTTTTAATAGATTGAGAGGTCTAATGCTCTGTTCTAGCTAAGGGAGGCTTATCTTACTTTCATGATCAGTAGATGGGGTTAGATAAACTGAGTGACTGGACCAATTAATACAGAAAGAGACCATGGCCTCGAAAAAAGAATAATGTATGCTTACTTAGCGGAGTAATAGGCATGTAGTCAAGTTGGTTATTTTTCTGAATTATGGCCAAGGTTGAGATTTCAGAAGGACCCAACAATTTGAAATGATTTCCTGAATTTCCACTTGCAAGTTTAAGCATTTGCCTAGAATCATTTTTCTGAGGTGGACAACTAATTCTCTTAATTTAATGAATTGAATTTTACTAAATAATCCCAAACGGAAATTTCTATGGAACATTTAAGAAGGAGCTCTAGAATCCTACCTTAGAGGTTTGACCCCCTTAAATGACAATTTTCATGCTTATGAGACCACAATATTGAGGACCAGAAGGCTTTTGCAGATTTTACAAATCTATCAGCTCTTGATGCTTCTAAACTCTGTGGAACAAGGGATAAACAGTGCCTTTAGTTATCATGATTTACAGTGAGATTATTTTAAAAAGAAGGTAAGCATTGGATGATGGTTATATCTAGAAATGAAGCTTAAGTGCTTATTGTTTGCTTGGTGGAACTATCTGCTTTGCATTTCCAAATGAAATGGAACTTGAAGTGGATACCTTAGTACAGCAAGATATCTATTAAAAAAATTACTACAGTATTGGAAGGTTGGTACTGTACCTGGAAATAGTGGAAATGCTTTTTTTTTTTTTTTATATTCTTGGTACTTTCTTCTGACTTCCATTCTCCTTTTCTCAGTTTTGTTTCCTCTGACCCATCCTTTTGGTGTCCCCACAAAATGCAATTTGTTTAGGCCTGCACCCCCCTTAAATATTTTTTTTTTTCTGGAAAGAATACACATAAAGATCAGTACTAATGGTTACTCTCCAAAGCGGAAAACCAATATGGCTCCTATTGTGTGCTTTCTTTGCAGGGATAGTAGTTAGACTATAATCATTTATTTTTATCTTGTTCCCAAACATCTAAAATTTGGGAGCCTTCTTTTTTTATCTTCTGATTGTTGATTTGGAGCCATTTTCTCTCTTGTTTTTTCACACCTGTAGGTCTCTACCTGATGAGATTCCTAGGCTATTTGAGATGCCTTTTTTCCTCACATTCCGATTAAAAGGGAAAAGAGGAAAAGATCATATGGACATGATTGAAGATTCCACTGCTTTGGTTGAGAACAAAGCAATACTACAATTTTCTAAGATGAGAATCAGCCTTTGGAGACCCTCATTATCCTTATCAGTATTGGGGTGACTAACTACATCTGTGCCAAAGAAGAGTTTAAAGATTTCTTTGTTGTGGATGTAATTAGGGATTGTCCCATGTGGCCTCCTGATTGCCCTTGCATCATCATTCTCTTAGATATAATCACAGAGGTGGAGGTAGATTCATAGGTGCACATGTGGATGGGGGATGGTCAAGAGGGTGTTTAGATGCTATCAGGAAGGCTATATCTTTGGATTCAATAGCAAACATTTCTGGATCATGTAATCTGCCAATTCATTGGCTGAAAGGCTGGTTAGGAATGGAATGGACAGGAGAGAACTTTTTTAGGGTGCAAGCCTGCTGGGCAGAGATTGTCTTCTTGTCCCAATAACTATTGTACTGTTTGTTGACTTGAGGTTTTTGGCCTTGCTAATCTTGTTCTGATGGTCTTGTTTGCCCTCTGTTTATCTCTTCTTTCGATATTTAATAAAGTTCTATTGTTTTCTCCCCAATGAGCCTTTTTTTTGTATATCTATACATTATCATTTCATACCTTAATCAAATGCTTTGATTAAAAGGGCAGCCCAGTGCACAAGCCTCCTGCCAATGCAATGTGGTGGTCTGGGGAGGGACAGACATATGCAGCCTTACTGCTGCACATGCACAGTTGCACACTGTTTCCAAGATTTGATCCCTAGTCACCCAGGTCACAATGAAGCAACGCAACCATTGTGCCAAGGCCTACCCTCTTAATCAAATACTTTGATTGTTCACCAAAAAATATTGCTTTGGTAATTTTTTTATGTATTTATAGTTTTTTACGAACATGTAGTACATCAATAGTGCAGTTCCTCAAAAATAATTTCCCTTGTGTGCAGCATACTACAGTGACATTTGTGTTGGTTCAATTGCCTGCCGTCTTGAGAAGAAGGAAGGAGGCATTTGCGTTTATATCATGACATTGGGTGTTTTGGCCCCATATCGTGGCCTGGGGATTGGTCAGTATACAACATATCTTCATCAACTCTGTACTTATTGCTAACAACATGATCATGGCTTTCGTTATTGTTAGTTTTTGGAGTTCATATATTCTAGTTAAAATTTCCTAAGACTCATCAAAATTGTCTTGATCCAATTGGATTTTGTGTTCTCATTGTCAGACATTTTAGATAAAACTTGATCCTATCTATCAGAACACTGGATTTGACTCAACTTGGCCGGATTTGTGAAGTCTGTTTTACATGTTGGGTTATCCCTCAAGAGTCTGTACCTGTAAGCTACCCCATCCTTATGCTGGCATTAGTTTACTCAACTTTGTCAAACCTGCAAAATAATTCCAAGAACCAAGAATCAAACAATCAGATTACTTTTGCTTACCTAAAAAATGAAAAAAAAGAGAGAGAGCTTGTTAATTTTTCTGTTTTTGCTCTACTATCCAGTTTAAATCCTTCTCTTTTCTATTCTATGCTGATTATACCCTGCTATAATTAGAATGGAACATCCAAGACACCCTGGCATTCTGAAACCCCAATACTTCAGGCTTTCTTTTCCACTCTCACTGGACCATCAGCTAGGCTGTTGGATAACCTGTTTAATGCATCAAAAATAGTTTTATCTTTCTAACTTGGTTCCAGACGAGTTATCTCTTTCAATGGGATGGATGTTGATTCTCTAAATCAGAGAATTTCTGATTTCTGCAGTTTAATGTGCTAAAGTTATTTTATGCAGTTATAAACATTTTAATCAATTCATACTCTCCAATGTCAAGGCTTCAAGTATGAGATCATTTAATAGTGAATATTCTTTTGTTGCCATGAGCTCTTTGAACAATTGAAGATTTTCCCTATTACTTTATTTGTGGACATTCAAAAGACAGGTTTTTTCCCGTAATGGCTCCATGTATTTCAGTGTAAAATGGGCTGAAATTTTTTCAGGCTGAAATACTTGAGCTATACTTTTGCCCCTTTGGAAACTTAGTTTTCCTTGCTATTTGCATGAAACCAACTTAGATTGGGTGGAAAACAAAGTTTTCCCCGTAAAAGGAGCAGAAATAATAGCTAAAGTATTTCAGTCTGAAAAGGTTTATGCTCATTTTATGGAGGGAGAAAACTCAGCAGAAAAACATTTTCTGGATGAGACAGATTAATTGGACAAACTCGTTGTTGAAAATATGCATAACTTTTAAAGTATTTTTTTATTTCTCAAAATCAATTATTCTAGTTGAGCTTTCAGGTTTCCAATTACTCTTTTAAGAGCTGTCATAGAATATAGTTTGCTGGATTAGGAACTTTTCAATTGGAAAATTGATCATTCACACCTAGGATGTAAGTTTGTTTTAAAAACCGCTATATTGGATTGTTATGTCAATTCCAGAAGAGTTAAAATCCTAGCTATGCAGCATCAGTACATCCTAATATCCTATGAATGCATGAGATAAAATATCCTACTTAGGCAGTTGAAACCTGAGGACAGCCTGTTGTCCCAAATCCCAAGTGCACTTAAATAATTTTTCTTTTTGGGTGGAAATTCATAATTTGTTCAGGAGAAAGATTTTCCAATTTCTTTTCTGAGCAAGCTGAATTGGATTGACGGTTGATTGTTTCCACATTTTTTGCAGGCACCAAGTTGTTGAACCATGTTCTAGATCTGTGCTCTAAGCAAAAAATTGTGGAGGTCTACCTGCATGTGCAAACGAACAATGAAGACGCAATCAATTTCTATAAGAAATTTGGGTTTGAAATAACGGATACCATTCAAAACTACTACATGAACATTACTCCGCCTGACTGCTATGTTCTTACTAAGATCATCAGTCAACCTCAAACCAGAAAATAATATTTACAACTTTGTTGTTTCCAAACAAGCAGTGGTTATTATTGCCTGCTTGGACTAAAACAGGAAACTAAAGGCCCAGTTGTTAAGGTTCTAAGGATGCTGAAATATGGAAATTTTAGTTTATATGTTTTATGTTAATCATTGTTTATATTTTTTCGTGAATTCCATACCAGTCTCTTTAATAACAGGACGAAGTTTTGTTGTTGACAGGAATTTGTTCTCGGTTCCAACTGTGAAACCATGTAAAGTAAGGCACTAAATGATAACATATGAAATTATGAATGCTTGTCGGTGTACCTGCACTTTTACTACGACAAACATATATTTGCTTTTTTTACTGTATTTAGATTCAGATTTTTTAGTAGATTTGATGAGGGTAGATTTGGCCCTCCACTAACATCATGACACATGGTATCTTGGAACAACTAGGTAACACCCAGGACCATCTAGGCGACAACTTGCCTTAGCCAAAATGATGGAGTCTCAGCTAGCGACATGGCACTATCGCCGACCTGACAACCTGCCTCTGGCGCCAATCTGGCGACCTGCCTCTGGTGCCGACTTGGCGACCTGCCTCTGGTGCCGACTTGGCGACCTGCCTCTGGTGCCAATCTGGCGACCTGCCTCTAGCGTCGTCTTGGCAACCTGCCCCTATTGCCGACCTGGCGACCTTCCTCTAGCGCCGACTTGGCGACCTGCCCCTATTGCCGACCTGATGACCTACGAGACGTGCTCGTCGTCGATTTCTGCATGCATCCCATCACTCCTAGGTCTCTCGGAAGTCAGCTTACACCGAATGTTTTGGGAAAATCCGTGTAAGGCGCAAATATTGGCCTATGTGCACGACTACCTCCGAGGACTTCGGAGTAGTTATTTATGTCCTCCCGAAGATCCCGGACGTGTTGCGTGATGCTCACGCCAAACATTGTCTATATAAAGGCCTTACCTCCAACCATAGGGGGGAGATGTGCAATTTAGTTCTCACAGCTCTCCAATTCTCTCACATTTGGCTATCTTAAAATCTCTGATTCGCTAACTTAAGCATCGGAGTGCCCACCCCGGGTAAAGCAATTCGAGCACTATGACATTGTTTCCTTGCAAGTCGCGTCAGAGCCACCTTCCAGGTATGAACCATTCAGTTAGGCATCCAAGCCACATTCCAAGTAGGGATTATTCAACCAGGCATCCGAGTCACCTGCCAGTCGGGAGCTTCCGAAATGCACTTCATCAATTGGCGTCGTCTGTAGGAAACGCTATAAAAGGCAATGTCCTCATCCAATTCTCTGAGCCTCAAGTAATAACATCTTCAAGCAACAACAATAGCGCTTGATCGAAAGAACCCCCTAGGGGGGTAAAAGCAAAGTGATTAATCCAAACGAGTTTTTACAGTCTTGTTCGGACAGAATCTCCCCAACTGTGAGGCCACTCCCATATGTCGAGCTCTACGTGCTCTCTACGAGAATTGATGGCCAATAGAATGTGAGGCCACCCCATAGGTCGAGCCCTCCGTGGTTCTCGTGGGATTTGATAGCCAACAAACTGTGAGGCCGCGCCGCAGATTGAGCACTCCATGCTTTACGTGGGAGTTGATGACCAGTAGGTTGTGGAGCCGCTCTCACAGGTCAGTCTTGCCGAGGTGACGAGGTGTCTGTAGGTCGAGGTGCTGAGAGAAAAACTGGACTATCAAAATTCCGATGACCTGGAGACCTATCTCCTAACTGACAACTTGCTTCCGCCAACCTGGCGACCTACTCCCACCGGCCTAGCGATATGCCTCTACCGCCAAGATGGCGACCTACTTCCGCCGACCTAGTGACACACATAATCAGCCTGGACGAGCCTTGTCAGCCTTGTTGGCGAGGTCACCCCTACAGATCGAGCCCTTTGTGGCTCCCGTAAGAATCGGCGACCAACAAACTACAATCGCCCTTGTGGGTTGAGCCTTTCAAGGTTCCCATGCGAGCAGGCAATTTGCAGTTTGTAAAGCAGCCCCCTTAGGTTGAGCTCCTTGTGGCTTATCGTAGGAGTAGACGACGAGCACCTTAAAGGACCGATACAGCGCAGCCGTGGCACCGACCCGCTATTTAAATTCCAACACTGACACACATATCACAAGGGGAAGCCAAACTGCCTTCAACATCAAGGACCCCTAAGCCAACCCCAAAATATGTTGGTAATAGGCCTAAGGACCTACAACGAAGCACAAATCTACTCCCTTTGCTGAGCTGATCTCAGCTCAGGAGTGGGGGGCAATTGATGAGGGCAGATTTGGCCCTCCACTAACATCATGACACATGGCATCTCGGAACAATTAGGTGACACCCAAAACCACCTAGGCGACAACTTGCCTTGGCCAAAATGATGGAGTCCCAGCTAGCGACCTGGCGTCCTACCTCTGGTGCCGACTTGGCGACCTGCCTCTGGTGCCGACCTGGCGACCTACCTCTAGCGCCGACCTAGCGACCTGCCCCTATTGCTGACCCGACGACCTACGAGACGTGCTCGCCGTCGATTTTTACATGCATCCCATCACTCCCGAGTCTCTTGGAAGTCAGTTCTCACACTGAATGTTTTGTGAGAAATCGAGTAAGGCACAAACAATGCCTATATAAAGGTCTTACCTCCAACAATAGGGGGGAGATGCGCAATTTAGTTCTCGCAGCTCCCCAACTCTCTCGCATTTGGCTCTTAAAATCTCTGACTCGCTAACTTAAGCATCGGAGTGCCCACCCCTGATAAAGCAACCTAGGCACTCTGACATTGTTTCTTTGCAGGTCGCATCAAAGCCACCTTCTAGATAGGAACCATTCAGCTAAACATCCAAACCACATTCCAGGTAGGGATTATTCAACCAGGCATCTAAATCACCTGCCAGCCGAGAATTGCCAAAATGCGCTGCATCAAGATCCATGGGTATAATCTATATCTAGTTACTAGTACATCTTAATATAGCCCAAATCATGGTTCAAAGTATTACGCAAATTTTTCACATTGAGAGTTTATGTTGTAGATTACATGAATCTTTGTGCCGTCTGTAGAGCACGCGATCCATTAGAAACTAGGATCCTCGGTTTATCATTAGAAACAGCTAGGATCCTCTTCTCAGAGGATGGTAGTTGCTAAAGAGTGGCAGTTTTGTCAATTGAGCTTTTCTTCAATCCCTTCACTAAAGAGAAGAAGATTCAACTTCAAAATCATTCAGGCAGTCATTTGGCAGGTGGGAGATAATGGATGGACTCTTACATGGTTCCAGAATGATAGCTTGTTAAGACTGTTTGGTTTGATAGAAAATAAGAGTGAAAGTTGGAGGAAAAGTTATTGAGGATTAATATTCAATGGATTCTTAGCTCAGGGCTTATCATCATCATCATTATTTACATGCAAGATACATACTTAGATTTAGAGAAGCACAAGTTCAACCCAAAGATTAAACATGGCATCTCACCGGACGTAGCCTGGAGATGGCTAGTAGCACAAGCTCACCCAAAGATTTAGAGAAGCACAAGCTCAACTCAAATTCAGATAGCTTAAATTACCTATTTCATTACATCTGGTTCCCTACAGCCCTACCACATACGTTCAAAATATTGGGATACAAGTTTGTGGCATCCATCTAGTCTAGTGGCCAATAAGTTATTAATACGGTGGAAGATATGGCTAGTAGCATTTCATCGCCATATCAGTAAGAACTATTGTATTTTAATTTCATTAGAGATTAGATCTAATGGAGACAAAGATGGGGCGATGGAGACAGAGATGGTGACCAAACGCTTCGTCGGGACATAAACATTGTCCAAGGCAAAAATAGTGCAAGAAGCATCAGACGTACGTGGAAGTTCAACAAAGGCTTTCATGGAGTCGGTCACGGCTCTACCAAAAAACTGCCCACACACGCAATACTTATATCTCAGATCTCACTTCATTTATTATTGGGTACAGGGTTTGCGATCAAATCAGCCCCCACAAGATTATATCGGAAACATCTCCCAAGTCCATAAATTCATGGTTGACTTGTCGTCGTTGTAATGGTCGCCGCTGATTTATGCGATGGTTTATAGGCTGCATGGTTCGTTGATTTAATTTAAGGCTTTTTATCTGAAGGAATGACACTTGGTGCAATTTAACTTCTTCAAATTTTAAGTAAAGAGTTTATTTACCTCTCTTTTTAAATAGGAGGCCAGCCACAAGTGGCATCTATGGCACAGTTGTCTTTGACGTGAGGCCCAGGGATAATGTTCCAAAATTGTGGTGTAAAATGGATTCCTATATGGCATTTAGCATACAGATTTATTCATGTCTTACAAGTGCACAATGCATGCAACATTTTGTGATTCAAACGGATATCTCACAATAATACTTAATCCAGATACATGGATTTAATCATGCCATGCAATATTTTAGTTTATAACTATAACTAGCTAGCACTCTTGCATGTTTTATGCAAATTTTGCATAATTTGTTTTATGTTCACTTACTGTTAATGCAAATTTTGCATCGACACAAAATTTGTTAATTATCTGCCAATACAACAGAGGCCAAATCGTTTTGCTTCATATCTAACTCCTCCCAAATCCCAAACAAATAACCTTCCCCCTTCCTTTATTGCTTCAGATCACCATTATATTATTTAATTCTGGCAAACAAATGCATGGGATGAAGTTTGTATAGTGCAAATGAACCACCATCCCCAACATACAGCGTCATACAAGTTAAAAGAAAACTGAAAAAGTCGAACTCCATACAAGTATTGCTGGATGGAGGAAGAAGTTTGTTCAACGAAGAGATGAAAGCGCAGCTAATTAACAACAAGAACGAGAAGAAACCGTTGGGATTAATTTATAAACAATTACATGTATTTCTTTCACACGTAACCTTTGTTTCTGATCATAAATGGTAAAACCTTGAAAGAATCTTCCGAGTTCAAACAAACGTAGCTTTGTCGTCCTAGCTAATTGATTTTTTGATGTGGGGCGTTGGGGAGGGTTGGAAGATGATCAGGAAGCGAATTGGTCCACAAAGAAATGTCAATTTTAGATTTATTCAACTGAAAATGCGTCAACGTAATGAGATGTACAGGTTAGAAGATGAAGACTACAGATCAGTACAATGTATCCATCTAAAAATGACCAAGTTTGAGTTTGACAAATCAAAATGCGTCCTTAATTACTCCTCCCATTGCTTTCCAAATCTAAGGTAGGCAGACTTTGTGCTTCTATGAAACAGCATCGTTTGGCAGAGTTCTCAGTCACTAATTAGGTAGCTGGCTGACCTCAGTATTTAATTATTAGTCTCAATG